CAGGAGACGTCCTCTTCAAGAGCACCGTAAACATAAGAGGGCCCTCTCTTATGAAACTCTCACGATAAAGGGTTGATTTCGGAAGAACCTGTGCCCGAAATCCAAACGCTTTCGGATGAAAATACACCCAAAGCCTTGCACAATTAGACGCAAGCAGTAAAGCTTATGCAAATACTTAAACGAAAAAAGACGCAAAAATCAAACTTGTGCAAATATTTAAATGAAAGTACAAAGAAAGGATACTTATATGATACTTGAACGAAAAAGTATTTTTTTTTTATTTACAATAAATATGCCAGACAACACAGGTACAAAAGTTTGAAAAGGAAAAATTAAGTTGCTGCATCTCCGGAACCCGGAGGAAGAGAAGTATCTACGCCCCTAAGAGAAGTGGGTAGATCTGTTGCTGGTTCGATGTTTTGGCCTTCGTCATTTTGGCCTTCAGAATCATCGCCTTCCGGCTCCTCTTCAGTTCCCGAGAACTCAGAACCGGAACCAGAAGAATCGGTAGCATCAGGTCGGGCCGGAAGGCCCCTTTTTGCAGCTAACTCCAGCTCACACGCCTTAGCGATTTCGGCATCAAAGTCAATGATACCTGATTTGGCCTCTTCCAAGGTTTTTCTCCCCATGCTATACATAACATATGTTTTTTTAACAATGAGGGAAGCCGCTCGGCGTTGAAGTTCTTCTTTAAGTTGGTCGACCTCAGCAGAAAGGTTTTCCCACGCAGATCTAACGGACCGGAGGCTGACATCGAGGTCACAGACAGTAGAGCTGAAAATTCTATTATGCTTAATGGTCCGCTTATGCTTCTTTTCCAATTGGGCATACTTCGCCCCAACAGCAGCAAGCTCTTCAGCTTTGGAGTTTAAGGCCGCCTCCAAACTATTTAATCTTTCAGCGGAGGCAGCCTCACGATCGGATGCAGCAAGAACGACATTATGAATTTCAACACATTTGGCCCTAGCCTCTTCAAATTGAGCCCTCAACGAGGCAACTTCTTGGCTAAGGGTCACTAATTCTTGCTCGCTTCGCTGCAACCGAGCCTCCAACTCAACGGCCTCAGCAGCTCGAGCTTCCAGTTCTGAGAGGCGAGCAGCAGTTTGATCCCTTTCGGCCAAAAGTTGATCCCGCTCGAAGGTAAGCTCCTCCTTATTACAAATCAGCCTTTGAATGCCCTCGGAAGCAAGAAAGTTGGCCTGCAAAACAAGAATGCAAATTCAAAACCTTGCCATAACACAAGTAGAAGAAATAAGAGAGAAAACAAAGATTGTTCCGCCGTTGCATTGTACATGGAATTGTTCAACAAACACTCTCCCGAGAGAGTTTGTATCTTTTTCCAATCTTTATCTGAAGCTAGGGGATTCAGATAGTTAGCAAGTTACACCTGTTGGGATAACAGATTGCATCTGGTGAAAACCGAGAGGGTGGCGCTCCTCCTCCTTTGGGGATCTTCCGAGAGGGCAGCATAATTTTGCCCCAGGTTCCCATGAACTGGGGACTGGGGAAGAGGGACATCCTCTACTCGGGCAGCTGCAGCCGGCGAAAATGATGTAGTAGTTGCTGGTGGCGAAGGCAAAATTGGAGAAGAGGGAGATGAAGTTGATGGCATTGAAGGATGAGATGTGGCTGCGGCAAACGCAGTGTTGGTCATTGGTTTCTCCTCAACCGAAGACGGTAGGGACCCGATACTCAACCTCACGATACCGGGCACATCAAACTCCCCCAGATTGTCGAGGCATCATCCTCGATTGGTGTAGCTAACTCAACAGATTGATCATTCTGTTGAGTTGTTGAAGGTCATAGTCTTTTATGTAGAGAAGCCACATCATCACTCGCTTCTCCATCATCGTCGATCACCACGATTTTTGGTATCGGCTCTGGCACGACGCTCATGACCACAACATTCGAAGATGACTCGGGCATTGCGTTCTTTGCCTTTTTATTTGTTCCCCCGGTCGTGGATGAATGTCTTATTTTTTGTTGCTTGTTCTCTGGTCGGGGACTCCGAGAAGAAGCACTTGTACCAGAAGCAAGCTCGGAGATACTTATTCGTGTAAAAGCCTCCTGCAGCAGCCTTGCCGCGTCAGCAGGATTAGCCAAAACGTCCTCCTCGGGGACGACAACTGAGTCTTGGGGTAAGGGGACGAATTTTCTCTATCATCATTGTAAGGGGATGAATTTTCTGACAAGCATATACTATACTTCATCAAAAGCTCAAATAACATTTTACTTTCTGGCTTATTTGCACTATTCGTATTGCTCCCGGTAGCTCTGTGCCCGGAACTAAGATATCTGCCGTTTATTCCAATTTTAAGGCTAAGTCTTATATTTCTAATTCATCTGTTATTTTTGGATCAAATTAATTCACTTGTCTATAAACCACGTATAAATTCATCTGTGTCGTTTTACGAGTAAACAATTTCCATCCTCCCAAAATTAAGAAAAATATTGTTCTGCCGCTTGTATTTTGGTTACTATTTATGGTTCTGTCTTGCACCATGTGAACTGTGATGGGTTTCTCAGTTATTTTTTATTATCTTAGACTGCTTTGATCATTGAACAATCGAGGATTTGGTAAGAAAAATATTCTGAAAACCATTTCCAGCAAATAAGTTATTTTCTAGTGATTGATTGTCACAAAAAAATGTTTAAGTAAAACATTTTCCACAAGAAAGAAAAAATGACTTCCCTCACTTTTCGACCAAAGTCATTTTCCTTCGTAAAACTCGTAACTTCATGTCACTACTTTAATCAACACTTAATTATTATTATCAATCTTTAATATTCAAAAATCTCATCGAAGCATTATCCAATTTGTTAATACTATTAACATTCTTTAATAAATATTTTCTTTTTCTCTAAAATATTTCTGACTCTCTAACCGAACATTGCAAATATTTACCTATAAAAAATTCTCGAGAATGATTTTCATCATACCAAACAAACCTTTACTATAAAATATATTTCTAAAAGTCAATTCTTCAATTATATATGTAGTTCGAGTCCAAAAGAGTTGGTTTAATTAGTCATGCCAAAGAAACGAATTTGTTCATGCTTCTATGTGACCTCAACCACTAACTTTTTATATGTCCAACTCCCTATACTATGAAGAGCAATTGTTCCTGAAATGTCAGCAGGAGATTCATGAGGACCAATGGTATATAACAGAAATACTTATTGAGGACGTGACATTCTTGTCACTTGTCAAGGATTTCAATAACTCTGGGAGGTGTATATAGGGATTAATGTGGCGAAGGCAAGAAGTAGTAATAAATTAAGATCAAGGAATAAATAAGGATAGTCTAATATCAAAAAAAATGACAAGAGAACGGATGAGACCACCTATAGAGTTATTGTGTTGTGTTTATTCAAGGCCAAAGCTTTTTGTACTACCACAATATATATATGCTACTTCGGCTTTTACATCTTTTAACATCAGAGCTTTAACTGTTCAAAAGTTAAGCATATGAACTTTGGCATAGATTTCAGCTTTAACCCTCAGATAGTTAGCTGAATTCTTATACACTCTGATTTTTAAAACTGCTTTACAACTGTTACAGCTGCTTTCACCAAATTTTGAAGAAAAGTAGCCCAAATTTCATATCGCTTTGTCTCCTTTAATGATTTACTTATTAACTTTATGTATATATGTGCCTTTTTATTGTTTCTTCTCTGCTGGAAATTTGAGTAAATTGCAGATTCAAGTTACCTGTTTACTTAAATGCTCTCCTGTCTATTCTAATGAGAATTTGGAAATTTGTATCTCTGTAATGTTTAATCTTCAATGTCTTAGGAAATAGTACTTTACCATGCTGTTGGATGAACTTGCCCTAAAAATATCTCTTTTGAATTGTTAACATAGTAGTTGTAAGATTGATTGGTTTGCCCGTCACTTTTCTGATTATTGAAACAAGAACATATAGAAAGCACATTTGCTCTTTGCACTTTGGTTCAAGATAACTAGTGGGTTCCTCATTCAATTACTTAATTTATTAAGAGGGTATGTGACATTCTTGAGCCCCCCAACTTAGTTAGTGATTAATGCCCCACATTTGGTCATCACACTTGGTTGAAAAAATGGTGGTGCTATAAAATGATTTGTTTGATTGGGATTAACTATTTTAAGATGTTAAAATTGGATGTTACTACTTCGAGAATAAAAACACTTTTAAAGAAAAAAATTAGTACTCAAAGGTAAAGATTTTGTTGGTCCCTAAAACAGGGGAAAACAAACGAATTGCTTTGTTGTATTGCTATAGAATATCAGTTTTCATGATCCGCAGCTGATGGACTCGGAGATATATAGATATCAAAGTATGTGATAAAAGAGAGAAACAGTGAAAAGATAGTACGTTTTTTCAAAACATTTGGCATCTCTTAAAGTAGAAATTGTAGCTAGTAAGTTTGTCTGAAATTACCTCAAAGTTAATTAAAGTTTTCACTTTTCAGGTGTAATAACTAGAGATATGTTATTTTCATAAAATAGTCAAAACAAGTGAGTGTATCCAACGGCTATAAAACATCCGATACAACTCCAAATCAGTGACTGACAACTATCACACATATAGCTTTTAGCTTTAGACTTGCTATAAATTAGTTGAACCTTGCACTATCTCATAGTCTCAACTACTTCTTGAACTTGTCCAAACTCTCTAATTTTCAAGAAAATAAAAAACTAAGTATATAATTTTTCATGTACCCAAGAAGAAACACAGCCTCCTCAATTTTGGAGGTCTTTTCACTAAATCCTTTGCCTTATCCAGTACTTTTATTTTTAGCTGTGATTTTCATTTTTCTTGGTATTCAATGGTTTGTTTCATATGAAGAAGTGATGGAGGCTACTGAAGAAAGTTTTGGTTGGATACTTATGGCTGTGCCACTGGTGTTGTTATTCGCCGTCCGGTGGTTGTCCACGGTGGACACGCCTGATTGGTTTTCCGGAGGGTCGCCGTGGGATCGGCGGCGGAGGATGTATCAGCTGCCGTCGGAAGGAAGCTCGCCGTGGGGGGTGGCTGCTTTGATTGTGTTGTTATTAGTGTTGTTGCAGTACCAGTCTACTTTTCTTGATATGTGGTTCTTATAGTTCTTATTATTAATTACAAGTGGAATTAAGGATATGTAAGTTGTATATACGTAACTACTTGTAATTCAACCTCTCACTTTTAGGTGGAAATCATTTTTGCATTACTATTATCTGAGTTCTCTACTGCTTTTCGCAATTTTAACCAAGACTTCAATATTATTATCAATTTTTGTTACTAATCTATTTGTTTAACCATTTGATACATGGGATTCACCGACTCAGACTAATTTAGATTAGGACCATTTAGAATACATTTAAGGAGAAAGTGCTCTCTCTAATTTAATTTCTTCATTCTTAATGCTCCAACTCGAAATCTCTATTTAGTTTGCTAATATTATTATCTAGATTAACACTTTATAGTTTCTTAGTAAATTTACCAATTTCTAGTTTTTAACTTTCCAACAAAACATTTTACAAAAAAATATTTCTGAAAACCATTTTACAAAAATGACTCATAAAAACAAACACAATATGAGTCCTCAAAAATATACAAGGAATTAAAGTCATTAGGGGAAAATTAGAGCTAAAGGTAAAAGTTGATTGCCATTTGGTGGAGTGTACTATAGAGCTAAATGTAAGGTTTACTGTCCTACTTTGTCATTTATTACTTGATTGGTTTGTTAGTCTTTTGAATGGGCCATCAAACTTGATTGTAGGGTAGAGCAGAAAGATAGAATGATTACTTGTGGTGGTTATCTCTCCTTTATTTGGTAAAGTTTTTTAAGCTTTATATTCATTGATGATTGATGAACAAGTGGCCCAAATAAGTAAACTTGCCACTGGATTAAAATATCAAGTAAAAAATTGGCGAGTTTGTTGAGTCACGTCATTCTTTTCTAGACGAGAAATAAGTTGGTTAAATAGTCTTTCAGAAGTGATCTTTTTTCTACGGTGAATTTCATATAAAGAATTGCATAATTTTTCATTTTTCGAGGGATAGGGTGGTGAGACATAATTCTGCAATTAATTAATGACATAATATGAGACATAAGAAACGGAACCTATAAGTGGTTCTGGTACATTTGGTTTAAATGAATATACACAAAATTTCTACTTATACAAGTATGAGGTCATTTCATAGGTTTTAAGCTCTTAATTAGCGAGTAATTAAAGTGAAAATAGATTTATCTAGAGTTGTCATTTCTGAGGTTTTAAGCTTTTGTCTTCTTTCCCAATATTTCTCTTTTTTAGTCAAACTGAAATGAATCAGATTTGACCATAATTGGTTTCTACATTGAAATATTACGGGTTGCAATTATCGAAATCATGAAGGATAAGAAATCTTCAAAGGCAATTATTGGTGCCAAAGACCCTCTGTTATCCTGAAAATGACTTATGAGGCTTGATATCAAAAAAACAAAAAAATAGTACAAAGACAAATTATCGTGCATGCACTATTTCCTTTAGGAGTTTAAAGTGATCGTAAACGTCGTGTATATAACTTAAATTCTTGATTTAATAGTAAGATTAAAGAAAAAGGAAAACGGAACTCTTGTATAGATTGTTATTTTCTTGTTATTGTCCTATGCTATACCCAGCGAATGAGACACATCGCAACATTTTTTGCATACTACCTCCGGCCACTTTGTCCCAAAAGGCAAAAACACAGGTAAACAGACAAAATAAACCCTGAAAACTCGCAACTGCGAATAATAATGGTACCCAAAAGTTGAAATAAAAATGAAAACAAGCTCTTCGTTTTGTTATATTTTCTTGTTATTATCATACAATTCATATACCCAGATAATTAGACACATCCCTAGAATTTTTATATATGTTGCTACTGACTTTAAGCTTACATTCTTTGCACTTCGGTAGTGGGCCCTGATATTAAGCTGAGTAGTGGGATACACTGTTCATTACCAAATTATCATATGATGGGGTTGGCCAAAGTTATGGCACAGTACTTCAATCCATACTTCTTTAAGCCACTTCTGTCTTTTTATGGTTTGACTCCTTCAATGGATAAATGCCAAGGGAAAGAAATACAGTATAGCGTGTGTCAGAAGACTAATACTCCCTCCGTTTCAATTTATGTGATCCCATTTGACTGGGCACAAAATTTAAAAAAAGAGAGAAGACTTTTGAACTTGTGGTGTAAAATGAGTCACATATATTTTGTGTGGCTATAAATCATTGTATAAAAGTAAATTGTTTCCAAATAAGGAAAGAGGTCATTCTTTTTGGCACGGACTAAAAAGAAAATAAGTTCACATAAATTGAAACGGATGGAGTATATATATCTATCAAATTCTAGTTAGACCGACTATATTACAGGGTAGAGTGTTGGCCGGTTAAGAATTCTCATGTCTAGAAGATTAAAGTAGCTGAAATGAGAATGTTAAGGTGGATGTATGGGCATACCTGTAGGTTAGATAAGATTAGGAATAAAATTATTAGGGATAAGGTGGGAGTGACCTCGTGGAGGATAAGATGCGGGAGGCGAGGTTGAGATGATTCGGGCATGTATATGAAAAATTGCTTATTCATCATTCAATCTAAATTTGAGCTCTCCCGCTTCAACATCACATATAGCTCGAACGGTAGCCAAGAAAAGGCCTGCCAAGGATGATTGGAATTTCTACATCCACTTCACAATCCAATATTACAAAGTTGGCAGGAAAATAGAATCGATCCACTTTGACAAGGATATCATCGATGACACCCAATGGTTTCTTCAATGTTCGATTTGCCACTAACAATTTCATTGTGGTAGGTCTAGGATCACCCAAACCTAACTTCGTGAATACAGCATAGGGCATCAAATTGATACTAGCCCCCAAATCACACAAGCTTTTGCGAAGCTTGTCAACCCAATAGCACAAGGAATAGTAAAAACCCCGGGGTCTTCCATCTTTTTAACCCCGGTTTGTGAGATAATTGCACTACATTGATAGGTGACCTTGCTAGTTTTAAAATTAGCATTCTTCTTCTTAGTGACCAAGTCCTTCGTGAATTTAGCATAACCCGACATCCTTTCAAGAGCTTCCACAAAAGGCGCATTGATGGTGATTTGATTCAACATATCATAGAACTTTTGCAATTGGCCTTCTGGTTGTTGCTTTGAAAATTTTTGTGGAAACGGGGGAGGCGGTCTCGATAATTGCTTGTACAATCTAGGTGCCTCCTTGCTTGCCTCATTGATTGGTTATTTCTCCTTTGAAGGGATTTCATTTGCATTTTGAGAGGTTCTTGGTGCTTAGTGCACCTCTTCAACAATAATTGGACTTACTATTGGCACCACACACTTGGGAACTTCAATCACCTCGAGCCTCTTATTGACCAGGAGAGGTACATCTTGCTTAGGAACTTCATCAACTTTAGGAGGATCATCAACCTTGGGAAGAGCCACCTTAGGAACTTTGGGACTCTTGACCTTAGGAAAAGCATATTTGAGAGGAAACTCCTCTTCGTCATCATCATCCTCAACTACAATGGATCTCTTCTTTAGAATTTTGCTCCGCCTTGTGGAAATGGCAAACACTCGCTTTATACCCTCATCTCTCTTTGGATTTGGAATTGTGTCACTAGGCAATGATACTTGTGGTCTCACATTCAATTGAGAAGATATTTGACCCAATTGAGTCTCAATTTGCTTGATTGAAGTGGTATGAGAATCCACCACTTGATTCATTTCTCGCCTCTCTTTGTCGGATTGCTCTTGATTCTTGAGCATCCTTTCTATCGTCACTAAAAGTTGGTTATCAGTTGAAGAGTCACCTTGGTTGTTGTATGGAGGAGGTTGGTAGGATCTTTGTTGATATTGTTGGGAAGATCCACCACCTCGATTACCTTGATTACCGCCACTCCAACCTTGGTTTCCTTCATTGTTATTTCCCCAAGTGCCTTGTTATTACTTGGCCTCCATTGTCCTTGGCTAGATCCTGAAAGTTACCTCGTTGATTTTGATAGTTGCTCACAAATTGAACTTCCTCATTTTGCTCTTGATAAGAATCATCTTGAGTGTAGCGTCCATTATCTTGTGAGTACATCTCCTCTTGAGGTTGACGTTGATTACCCTTCATATTTTGCTTAGATCCCAAGACATGAACACCTTCCACGGCATGTACTTGATGCGATGCTTGAGTTTGTTGAAGGTGCGCTTTTGCAAGTTGATTCATAGTGGTGGTCAACTCGACGATGGCTTGACCATGATCTTGCAACTCTTTGTTGAGGTGAATCATATTCGGATACCCTTGAGGAATATTTGCTCGAGATTGCCAAGCGGATGACGTCTCCTCCATCTCATCAAGTATGGAACAAGCCTCCGGGTAAGACGTGGTCATAAAGTTTCCACCGGCAAGTTGGTTCACTACACATTAATTGGTTGTGTTAGTTCCACGGTAGAAGGTTTATTGCAACATGTTCTCGGTCTTATCATTATTACGACATTCCTTCATCATGGTTCTATAGTGTTCCCAAATTTCGTGTAGTGGCTCATTCGGTTCTTGCTTGAATGCCAAGATTTCATCCCTCAAAGAAGCCATGTTCCCGGGTGAGAAGAATTTGGCAATAAACTTCTCTGTCAACTCATCCCAAGTATGGATAGAATGGTTTGGTAAGCGCTCCAACCAATCCAAAGCTTTTTTGCTTAGGGAGAAAGGAAATAACCTCAATTTCAAAGCGTCCTCGGATACATTTATTTGCTTACTTTCCCAACAAGTATCTACGAATCCATTTAAGTGCTTGTATGCATTTTGATGAGGTGCTCCGGCGAAGTAGCCTCTTTGCTCAAGAAAGGTGAGCATGACATTTGTAATTTGAAAATTTTTCGCCCTAATGCGAGGGGAGACAATTGCATTTGCATAGCCATCATTTAGTGTGGCATGTTGTTGAGTCGATTGGTCGTGTGGAGGTGATGGTGGTGGATGCGGCGGAGGTTGGTATTGGTTTTGCCCTCGACCACGCTGGTTTCCTTGAACCGGAGCCGTTTCTCCATCTACCATATCTTCATCAATGGCTCCAAGAGTCAAATCTCCAAGGTCATTGTTGTTCGCCATTAGTAACCTACAAAAATCACACACGAATCAAAGTTTCACAAAGAAAAGATAAGAGCTCAAGAAAACACACAATAACAAAGTAGCACAAGAACACCGTACTCCCCGGCAAC